TCGGGCTACACATCGAGCCGCATCGCCGACGCATCGGCGATGCCGCGTGGTCCACTGACCCCATCTACGGTTGGCGTTGGAAAGGTAGCGTGCAACACCGGCCTCCGAAGAGAACGCTATCCCTGTGAGGTGATCCCCCCCGCGAGGTCCCCTTCTGTCCGCGCTGTCCCCCTGCCGAGGCTTATAGTGGGGCATGGCGCGTAGTAGTAGAGGAAGAGGAAACGGCACAGACATAAACATTCGGCGGTCCGCGCGGATTTCTTGGATCTGCGCTGGGGCCCCTCCCCTGGCGGCACCTCCTGCGCCACCACCCCCTCCCCCTCCTCCTCCTCTTCCTCCTCCTCCTCCTCCTCCTCCTCCTGCTTCCGCCCTCATTCCACTCGTCTTCCTTCTCCTCGCCCTCTTCCTTCCCCCCTCATACTTCCCCCCTCCTTCCACTCGTCGTCATCATCGCTTCCCGCATGGGCGCCCCCCCCCGCCGTCCTACGCAGCTAGATCGTGGCCGCCGTGCGAGGGGGGCAGTGGGGACCGCACCCGTGCTGCAAGCGCCAGGGAGAAGGAAGGAGGTCCAGCGGCGGGCGGGGGGGAGGGAAACCTGGACTTCGAGCAGATTGCCTGATGGGGGCTGTTTTCGGGCCCCGGGCGATCTAAAACTGATCCGGGTCGGTAACCTGTCCCCTGGGAAAAGAACCGAGACCCCTAATGTCCGCGGACTGAAGGCGAAACAGTCCGTCGAACTTCTGGGGATGAAGGGGGGATGGAGGAGGGATGCAGGCAGGCAGGAGGAGCGAGGAGGAGGAGGAGGAAAAGGAGGAGGAGGAGAAGGAGGAGGAGGAGGAGGAGGAGTGCGTAGGAGTGAAGAGCGAGGAAGGAGGTGAAAGGAGGAGAGCGAGGAGGAGGAGGAGAAGGACTGAGAAGGAGGAGGAGTGAGGAGGAGTGAGGAGGGAGGATGGAGAAGGGAGGATGGGGGGAGGAGGGGATGGAGGGAGAGGAGGTGGGAGGGAGGGAGGAGGAGGGAGGAGGAAGAGGAGGGAGGAGAGAGGATGAGGAGAAGGAGTGAGGAGGAGGAGGAGGAGGAGGAGGAGGAAGAGGAGGAGGAGGAGGAGGAGGAGGAGGAGGAGGAGGAGGAGGAGGAGGAGGAGTGACGAGAAATAACATGTGATGTAATGTAATGGAATGCAATGAAATGAAATGGTGAAACACGTAGCGTTAATATATTAATCACAGTGTGCCGTGACCTCTGGCAAGCCTATCTTTCCATGAGAGGACCGTAAGCAAAAAACCCGAATTAACCCTGGACAAATATCCACGAGTGGTGTCCGTGGGGCTCCCGTCACGCGGGCCCTTCAAGGTACGAAATTGGAAACGAACGAAATACCGAATTGCAGACGCCGCAATATCACAACTCCAGATCGGAGTGATAAAGAGCTTGTGAAAGCTATGAACCCACCCCCAACACAATGTACATGTTTGGGGGAATGCACCTTGAACAAGTTTCCGTCGACGGGGTCCAGCTTAAGACTGGGGGTCCGCAACCACTCTAATTGCAAGAGCCTCCTGTGTGGCCGATCCGCGACACGCAGTACAGTCGGCTGCTATCATTCAAGCATAGTTGTGCCACAATCTAGGGGGCAGGTGGAGGACGATGATAGCTTCTCCTGCTTTCAAAAATCTGCCGAAGATCGGCTGCAGTCGCATCCAAATGAGCACGCAACAAAATCGTTCGAACCAATGCTGCTTTGTGTTCGGTACGTGCGATACGGGTTCTGGCTTCCTCGGAGATCCTCTCCGCTAGAGCTATTTCTCCTGCAACCCCGTCCACCAACCCGTTTCCCTGAATCATCCAGAGAGAAATCCTTTGCTCTCCTGCTTCATCATCCGTGAGATGTTGAAGTCATGAGCCGCACGACAATATGCAGTGTCCTGTTCGTGTCATGCAGATTCGGGGAGACGTAAGACCCGGTTACGGGGGACTCGGAAATCCCCGACGAGGTCGTCAACAAAAATGACGAGGCCGAGCCTGCATTTTGACGAGGCCTCCCGCTGCAGACATCCCACGAAACTCCTCCTCGTCAAAATCCGAGGCGCGGTCGTCAAAAAACGATGGCGAACCCGAGTCCTGGCAAACCCGGGTCTTACGCTCCCCCGAAATATGCAGTGTCCTGTTCGTGTCATGCAGGTGTCGGCCAATCGTGGCCCCCGAATCCAAAGCATTGCCAGCAGTGCGCGGGCCACTGGATTGCTTCGGGAAGGAAGACATGCGGCAGGGAGCGGGGCCTGGGCCTCCCTCCCGCCTCGCCCTGCCTCGCGCGGGGAGGGTGTCCCTCCTGCCTCCCTCCTCCTCCTCCTCCTCCTCCTCCTCCTCCTCCTCCTCCGCCGCTCCTCCTCGTTCCTCCTCCTCCTCCTCCTCCTCCTCCTCCTCCTCCTCCTCCTCGCTCCTCCTCCTCCTCCTCCTCCTCCTCCTCCTCCTCGAGCGGGCATGCCCGCATGCTTGAAGCATGCGAGAGTCCCTCTGGCGGGTGGTGGTGAGGGCGAAGAGAGGGGCCTTGGAGAGGCCCTCCGGGGCCCCTTTTGTATACACTTCTCGATTTGTGCGTGTCATCCGTGCGCAGGGGCCATGCTAATCTTCTCTGTACCGTTCCAATTTTAACGGGTGGTCCCCGAAGGGAATCCGCCCTCCAGGGCCCCTTTTGGGCCCCTGCTGGTCCCAAAAGAGGCCCTGAAGAGTCTTTCCGTTTCTCCACCGCGCGTTCAGGTCACCCCCAATGGCCACCCGCCCGAATGCTTGAGGCATGTGCGACCCCCTCGGATATTTTGGCATGGCTTCCGTGCTTCCAGAAATTTCCCCAATAAGGCGGGGGGGGGAAGAAGGGAGCGGGTGTCCGGATGGTGGGGGGGGGGAAGGGCGCGAGCGCTCCTGGGCCTTAGGAGGCCACGTCGGGCTGTTCGTGGTGTGTAGACTGGAAATCCGAACGTTGTGTGCAAGAACAACAACTGAGAGGATGAGACTGCGAGGAAACAGGAACCAGAATCCATAAAAGATTAACACGACTCAGAAAAGGACGAGGCGGAAAGATGATGTGGGGAGACGGGGAAAAGGGGGGGGGCGCAGGATGTCCGAGCAAGGATGGAGGATGGAGGAGGGTCAATGGCAGGGAACAAGGACGAGGGAGGAATGAGGACGACGTGGAAGGAAAGAGAGGCCCTTGCCGCCCGAGACGTCCTCGGAGAACGGCCCGAGACCCAAGACCCGCGCGGTGACCCCGAATCCCCACCGGCTCACCGCACGGTGTGGTCACCACCCCGCTTGGGGGCCCCCGAGGATTCCTTGGACCGGCGCTGGACCCGGAGCGCGCCAGGGGGAGTCCAGCGCCGATCCGAAAAATCCGCGCGGACCTCCGCCAGCGAGTGGTTACGAAACCTCTGTGCCCTTCGCGGAGGGGAACCACGGATCACCACCACCACCGAGACCCCAGCAGCGTGGGGCCGACCCCTGGGCGGTGGCACGTCCGAGCGTCACCCCGCTGCAAGATGCCGCTCGGGCGTGCCACCGCCCAGGGGCCCCTCACCGATAGATATTGACTGCCTACCAGACCACCCCAACCCAACCCGAAGACCCGAATTTGACCCGAATTTCGGGTTGGGGGGGGGTACGGGTTCCACGTGTTTTTTCGACGTTCCCCGACCCCCCCCCACTGGAAATGGAGGGCAAATTGAGGCCTTCGGGTTGGGTTGGGGTGGTTTGGTAGGTGGTGAGATATGGTCCCTGGTCTTCGAGACATCTGCCACAGTCACCCGAGAAGAAGGCCTGCGGCTCCCGGATGGGGCCCCGAGGGCGGGAGAGCCCAGAATCGGATCGATGAGTCGGACCCGCGACCTAGATGAATCGGATCGGCGGAAATCGGCAGCCAAGTCGGGAGAAGTCGCATCGGCAGAAATCGGTAGGCTGGTAGGCCTCCGTCGAGACATCGGAGTCCAAATCGGCAAGGCGCAAGGGATGCGCCCAGGCCTCTGCGACACGCCAAGAAATCGGAGTCCAAATCGGCAGTGCCCCAGAGGCCTCTGCGACACGCCAAAGGACGAGGGATGCGCAGCTTAATTCAATTCTCACAAGAGTTTCAACTCGGCAAACCCCTCACGCACCTGCATCATGGGCCCTCAGCTGGCCCCGAAGACGGCTCCAGGGCCTCAACTCGGTACACCTCTGACGCATGTCGTGCCCCGTTGACCTCCAGGGGTGACTCGCCGGCCTTCAAGACGGCCGCAGGGAGCCTCGATTCGGCACACCCCTCAGGCACTCCGTGCCCCGTGGACTCCCCGGGGGGCCCTCAGCTGACCCCTCAGACGGTTCACGGAAGCTTCGATTCAGCACACCACTCAGGCACTTCGCGTAACATGGACCACCGAAGACCCTCTATAGGCTCCTGAGACAGCCTGCCCCCCCCCCAGGGACACCAAGATAGCCCTGGGAAATAAGATTGCAACGAGTAGTACCGACCCTCGTCGAAGCTGTACCCCGAGCACCTGCTGATTGCAGAATCTGCGTGCGAATGTCCCCTGAGGGCCAACCGTGACCCGCTCTGCAAGTTCAATACACAACCACTTTCGGATGTCCGCGCTGACTTCTTCTCGACGCTCAACGCTCCTCCCCTGGAGCTCGAAAAGCGCCCGGTGCGACGACGGAGGTACCTCCCATTGGGGGGGGGGGAACTCCACCGCTGGGGCAAGAAATCTGCGAGGACCTCCGAAAATGCAGGCTGCGCCGCTGAGGGGTTCCGAAACGTTTCCCCTCTGAGCTGGGGAGACAGGAAACACACCGATACCGCCACTCCACAGACCTCTCCCCAAGCTCGCCCTGACCCGGACTCTGGGCCAGATCCAGCCGTCGTGGCGACGAGGGCGCCCCGGGAGGCCTGAGCATGCGACAACGAGGGAAGGGTCGCGGCATCGGCACTGCTTCCTCCTCTGGGGAGCGTCCGCCTCTTTTGCGACAGCGCCGCGCAGGCAAGGCCACAGGCAGTGCACAGAGAAGGTGTCGACCGCCCAGCGCGCAGCGCACACGGCAGGGCAGCCCGCTAGTTCTAGGGGCCTAGGGCGGCGCGGGGCGAGCGCGCCGGGCGCACCACGAGCGGCGGCCATGTCCGTGCCCACGCCTTCGCGGTCTGCAGCCCCGGGCGCGATCCCGTGGCTGCGCGACCGCGTGGATATAACGCCCCGCGCGGGGCACCCTCGCGCAGAAAACGCCCCCACGCGGCAGGCTCGCGCCGCGGCGACCCGGGCCTTGGCGCCGGACGCCGCGTGGGTCGCTCCGCCGTCCACGACCGCGCCCCCACGCCGCAGGCTCGCGCCGTGGCGACCCGGGCCCTGGCTCGGGACGCCGCGGGGGTCGCTCCGCCGTCCACGACCGCCGGCGTTCCGGCCGCACGGTCACGGTCGTGCCCTCTCTTGGCCGATGCCCGGGCCACGGGCGGCGATCTCGACCTGGGACGCCCGCGCAGGGGTCGCAGCCGCGTCGGCACGACACGCAGCTGTCGTTTGAGCAGGGGCCGACCGTCCCGGCATTCCTGTAGGCCTACCACGAAAAGTTCTTCAAGCCCAAGCATGTTCTGAGAACAAAAAATTATTCACTGCGTGGAGCTCCCCATATGTGCATCTACTCGCATGGACCTGTCCGCCGTGAATGTCTAGGCGCAAGGGCTTTCGAATATTAACGGGCTTCAGTTGTGACGGTCTGGACATCAATCTAACTGCGAATGAATTGGAGTGTGAATGAGCCTCAGTAGTACGAGCGCGTCTCTGTGCATGAGCCTGGGGCCTCCTGGGGCCTCCTGAAACCTACTGGGGCTTCCTGGGGTCTCCAAGAGCCTCTTGGGACCTCCTGGGACCTCCTAGGAAGGTTTCGTGCCCCAGGGGAGGCGCAATCTATAGCAACAGACGTACATAAAACATTGCGGATTAGAGCCACAGGAGAAGGGCAATCTATAGGAACACGCGTAAAACACCAAGGACTCGTGCCCCAGGAGAGGCCCAATACATAGGAACATGAGTAAAATATTTAGGATTGTGTACACAGGAGAAGGACCATCTATAGAAACATACGTAGAACATCAAAGAATCGTGCTCCAGGTGAGGCCCAATCGATAGGAGCATACGTAAAACACATGGGATTGGAGCCACTCCTGTTGCCTTCTGAGGCCTCCTGCTCCTGGGGCCTCTCGGGGCCTCCTGTTGCCTTCCGAGGCCTCCTGGCGCTTCCTGTTGTCTCCTGGGGTCTCCTGTGGTTTCCTGAGGCCTTCTGGAGCTTCCTGGGGCCTCCTGGAGCCTCTTGGGACATCCTGTGGCCTCTTGAGTCTTTCTGTGGCCTCCTGATGCCTCCTGGGACCTCATGTGGTCTCCTGGAGCCTCCTGGAGCCTGTTGGAGCCTCCTGTGGCATCCTGAGAAGAATCTGCGCCCACGAGCCTGGCCACCAAAACTAGCAAACCGATCGAGACATCCTCAAAATCTGGCCCACCTGGGGGGTGAAAATGAGCGCCTCGCTCGAGACATCCTCCAAATCTGCTCCGAAAGCGAAGGATGTTGGGCACAGAAACAGGCAAACCGCCTGAGACATCCCCACAAAATGGCCGCGAACGAGCCCGTGCAACCACCCCTGGCGGCTCCCCTTAGGGGTGCTGAAATGAGCGCCTCGCTCGAGACATCCTCCAAATCTGCTCCGAAAGCGAAGGATGTTGGGCACAGAAACAGGCAAACCGCCTGAGACATCCCCACAAAATGGCCGCGAACGAGCCCGTGCAACCACCCCTGGCGGCTCCCCTTAGGGGTGCTGAAATGAGCGCCTCGCTCGAGACATCCTCCAAATCTGCTCCGAAAGCGAAGGATGTTGGGCACAGAAACAAGCAAACCGCCTGAGACATCCCCACAAAATGGCCGCGAACGAGCCCGTGCAACCACCCCTGGCGGCTCCCCTTAGGGGTGCTGAAATGAGCGCCTCGCTCGAGACATCCTCCAAATCTGCTCCGAAAGCGAAGGATGTTGGGCACAGAAACAGGCAAACCGCCTGAGACATCCCCACAAAATGGCCGCGAACGAGCCCGTGCAACCACCCCTGGCGGCTCCCCTTAGGGGTGCTGAAATGAGCGCCTCGCTCGAGACATCCTCCAAATCTGCTCCGAAAGCGAAGGATGTTGGGCACAGAAACAGGCAAACCGCCTGAGACATCCCCACAAAATGGCCGCGAACGAGCCCGTGCAACCACCCCTGGCGGCTCCCCTTAGGGGTGCTGAGTATGAGTAAGTCTGTGTATGAGTAAGTCTGTGTATGTGTACGTCTGGGTATGACTAATACTGTGTATGAGTAAGTCTGTGTATGAGTAAGTCTGTATATGAGTATGTCTGAGTGTGAGTAAGTCTGAGTATGAGTAGGTCTGAGTATGAGTAAGTCTGAGTATGAGTAAGTCTGTGTATGAGCAAGTCTGAGTATGTCCGACAGGAGGGGAGGAGAAAAGAGGAGGAGGAAGGAGGAGGAGGAGGAGGAGTAGGAGGCGTCCAAGTAATAACAAGAACCCCATCTTAGGATATGGGGAACAAGGTCATCAGAACATAGGCCCGATGCGCTCAAGCAAGACGGGCCCGGCCAGAAAGGGTTCTGAGGCCCTCTCGTGGAAACCACGAAACAGGCTCTCAGAAAAACTGTTTGGCAGGCCCAGTGCAGTCATCGGCCTGACCGAAGGAACGATAAATAAGGAACGAAGCCCCTTTTTTATCCCAAGGAATAACGCATAAGGAACGATGAATAACAAATAACGCATAAGGAACTATAATAGGGGGGAAACAAACCTACCTCGCTTTTGACCACCCTCGCTTCCAAGAGATACCAAACGATGCCAAATTGCAGCCTGTACTGGTCAGGCCGCTTGACGAGGAGGCGCGTGGTATGACTTGGTTTTGCCTGGAAGCGAAAGCGGGGTAGGTATTTCACGCTCTGATGTAAATAAAGCATGCAAGCCTAAGGACCGACCGAGCCCCTTTTGAAAAGTAAGTGTTCCTTATTCAAGCCGCTCGCTGTAAAGCAAGACGGCCCCGGCCAGGAAGGACCTGAGAACCTCTCGTGGAAACCACGAGAAGGCTCTCAGCACACTGTTTCGCAGGCCCACCTAGGCACGCCGGGACGCTTCGCCACTGCTCGACGGCCGTATTTACCCGTGGGGATCGCGGCCCGGGGGCCGCCGCCACGCGGAGCCGGGGGGCACGGCCACAGAGTGCCGCCCAGGGACACGGAGGGCCGCCCGCGGCACCACGGGCCGCTGCCGCGAGCGTCTCCGCCGCGCGACCTGCCGCGTGTGTGCCGCGGGCACGCTGGGGCGGGCCCGGGCTCCTCCCGCGGGCCGCGGGCCCCGGCGGCCTCGGCAGCCTCGGGGGGCCCCAGGGAGCCGGCAGGGGCACGCGTGGAGGTCTCCGTGCAGGGACCTGCGGGGGGGGGGACCTCCGAGGCGGTGGGCCAGGGTGCGCTGCCAGGTTGCCTCGTCCACCCCTCGTCTGTCCCCCTCTGCTCCGCCTTCCGCTCCTGGTGCGGCTCCAGGTCCACCTCAACCTCCTCCTCCTCCTCCTCCTCCTCCTCCTCCTCCTCCTCCATCCGCCTCCTCCTGCTCGGCCTCCTGCTCCTCTGTCCCTTCCTGTCTGTCTGAACTCGTGGGCTGCAACCTTCCGTGACCTTGTCCTGGGAAAGGGCGCCACGGTGGACGACTGGTCTGAAACCAACAACTGTGTGCACAAATTCCACACGTCCTGGGCGGCGACGGCGGCCTCGGAGCCGCCAGACCGCCATGCAGGCCCAGCTCCTGATGACAAACAAGTCGAAAGAACACCTGAATGCAAGCAGTGCTCTGGGAACAACTCTTGCTACTCGTTGCCAGGCGCACCAGGAACCCGACGGCCGCGAGGGCAAATTTGCGATGTGGCAGCGCGATATGGGGGGCGTGCGCGGAGGCTCAAGTAGCGCCCGCGGGCGCAATGAACGAGGCCACCAAATTCCCGCCCGTGGTCTTTCGAGCAGATCGAAAACACCCCGACCGCTCTCGATACCACCCGCACGACCCGTGTCTCGCCACGGTTCGTTTCCTGCCAGCCCGGGTCCCGCAGAGGGCCCCTGGGCGTCGGGTCGGCCGACAAACACGCCCGCCACTGTGTGTTTGTTCGGCGACGCCAGCAGGGGCTGATGCCCAGACCACGGACGACTTTGCTTATTCGGGTCGCTGGCCCCCGGGAAGCCCGACCCCTTCGCTGGGGCCGTTGGCGATCCCAGGGGCACAGGATGGGCCTCCAAGAATCCGACCAAGGCTTCTGCACCACACGCGCCACACGCAGACGAGTACCACGAGCGGTTTGGAAGACGACGAGCGTGCCATCGATACACCCTGCCCCTCCCGAAAGCTGCGGACAACCTCCCGCGCGCATCTTCTCGGGCCACCAGACGGAGTTGTTGGCGCGCCCGAGGGGGTGGCGCAAAGGAGGGGCGGCCGTCTGGGGAGGCGGGGGGGCTCCGACGAAGGCAGGGAGCCTTCCCGGCTTCTAAGAAGACCTCTCGGGATCCCCCCCCCCGCCTTCCCTCTCTCGTAAGCAGCCCCCCCCGCCTTCTTGAAGGCCGCCCCCCTCACGCCGCCCACTCGCGCGCACCGCCGGCGAACAGGAACGGGGGACAGCGACACCCACCACCACCACCACCAGGGACCATCAGCGGGAGGAGCCAGGGGGGCCCCCTGGTGGTGTGTGGTACGCCCCCTCGCCCAGCTCGGGGAGGCCTCGTGGACCTCCTCGCTGGCAAAGGCCCCCCCCCCGGCGTTGTGGTGGTGTCGCTGCTCCTCCCCCCCCCCGACGCTGGGCCCCTCCCCGAGGACCCCCCCCCGCTCCGCGCGAGCACGGCGCGCGAGCGCAGAGAGGGCGCGCGGCGCGGCGCCCGGGCCGAGCCGAGGCGGGCGCCGGAGACGTGCAGGCCGCACGCTGCGCATCCGGGGGGCCCTGCCCTGGGAGGCTTCGGGCTGCGCGCAGACAGCCCCCACGTCGAACCCCCAGTTCTGGGGCGCGTGTGCTCTGTTCTGACGGGGCGTTTCTCTTCGACCGCGGCCTCTGTGGCGCACGATCGGGCCCCAGCAGGACCATCAAAACTGGTTCCAGGACGGCAGAAAAACACCCGCAGGGGAGGGGTCGGAAACGCTGGGAAACAGATCGGCGGATGTCAGGTCCCACGTCGGACCCACGCCTAATCCACATCGAATAGAAGTCGAATCAATCCACGCCTAATCCACCTGGGGTTCGGGCGAATGCAAGACAGTGCCCGTACTTGCAGGGTGGATAGGATCCCCTGAACAAGCAGCGTGACAGGCCGGCTGGCTAGTTAGGCCACCACATGTGAACCCTGTTTCTGCAGGTCAGATTCCTCAAACCCCGGCGAAGTTTCAGCATAGAAAGGATGTCTGCAGCCCTATTGAACCCCAGCGGCGGTGCCCACTGCCCCAGGGACCACTGCACACGTAGGGGTAACGGGCTCGCAGGTGGTCGCAGCAACTGGTGAGACTTGGCGGCCGCGGCGAGGCACCCCTCAGTCCATCTCGTCCAGCTCCGCGCCCTCCACCGCGGCGCCGGCGCCGGCCGCCGGCTCGCCCTCGCCCTCCGCCGCGCCCCGGCCCCCCGCCTGCACCTTCTCCGCAAACTTGGAGTACCAGGCGGGCGTGTGCGCGGCGCCCCCTCGCGCGGGGCCGGAGCGCACGCGCGCGTCCCCCGCCCGGGGGGGGCCGAGGTGCCCCGAGGAATCCCGCGGGAGAGGCCGCACGATGTGTTGGGCGTGGCTTAATGGGAGGGTCACAAATGGGGGGGTCAGAAAAGGTCCCCTTTCGTCCCCCTTTCGGGCCCCTCCAGAGCCCCAGGGGGCTCGTTTAGGTACCGTTTGGGTACCTTTTCGAACCACCCTCGCCACCCCCCCATTTATGACCCCCCTATTACGCAGCGCCCAAATGTGGGCACTCGCTCGAGCCCCGGGGGGGGGGCCCAGGGGTCTGTCCGCACCCGCTGCCTCCTGCAACGTCATGTGGCGTCGTGCCCCCGAGGCGGCGGGCGCTCGTGCACGAGTGGGCCGGAAGGAGTGAGTAGCAGCATGAAGTGGGAAGGCGCTGGACGTACGTTGGGCCCCCGCCCGCCCCGGAGAGAGGAAGGAAAAAGGAAAAACTCTTCGAGGACTGAATGCATGGGTAGACGCCTACGTAAGGTAGACTGGAATCTGGCAACCAAGACATACCTGCTTTCAACGGCCGATTGGTAAGCGCGGGCCCCTGAGGAGGAGGAGGAGGAGGAGGAGGAGGAGGAGGAGGAGGAGGAGGAGAATGGAGGAGGAGGAGGAGGAGAAGGAGGAGGAGGAGGAGGAGGAGGAGGCTGGCCTGGAGCCCCGGCCACGGCCCTCTCGGGCGTCGAGATGTCGAACGTCTGGACCTGGCGCTTGGCCGGCGTGGCCTGCGGCGGCGAGGCTGGCACGGGCACCGCCTCCATGCCGACCACGCCGTCTCCTGTGCAGGGCGACCGGCGCCGCCGACGCCGCCGCCGACGCAGAATACGGCCTTAATTAAAGGGCCTCCTCCTCATCTTCCTGCTCCTCCTCCTCCTCCTCCTCCACGTCCTCCTCCTCCTCCCTCCTCCTCCTCGTCCCTCCTCCTCCTCCTCCTCCTCCTCCTCCTCCTCCTTCTCTTCCTCCTCCTCCTCCTCCGCCTCCTCCTCCTCCCCCTCCCCCTCCTCTTCCTCCTCCTCCTCCTCCTCTTCTTATTCTTCTTATTATTCTTATGTTTCTTCTTATTCTTCTTAGTAGTATTATTGTTCTCCGTATTATTACGATTATTATTAATATTATTATGATTATTATTATTTATTTCTAGTATTCGTAGCATTATCACATGTATTATTATTGTACTGCGTATGCTTATCATTATGCTTGTCCTTATTATCCGTATTAGTATACGTCTTAGTATCATTAAAGTATTCGTGTTCTTCTTCTGGGTGGTATTATGATTCTTCTTATTCGTATTATTAGAACTCTTCTTCGGATTCTTATTTTCCGTATTATTATTAATAGTATTGTTATTATTCGTCTTCTTCTTATTCTTATCATTCTTATTATTACTTCAGGATTCGTATTATTATTCGTAGTATTATTATGCGTAGTCGTCTTCTTCGTATTAGTCTTATGTGTCTCCTTCTTATTATTAGTATTATTATTTTATTAGTATGATGAGTATTATTGTTGTTATTCGTCTTCGGATTCGTCTTCGTCTTCTTCTTATTATTCCTCTTCTTCTTGTTCTTCCTCCCCCTCCTCCTCCTCCTCCTCCTCCTCCTCCTCCCTCTGGCTCCTGGTTCCTACGAAGCTACACCCAGCTCAACCCTCGAGGGCCGAGCTGGCGTTGAAAAGGCACACCCCTTGAGGAGAGGGCGAACGACGGAAGAGCACGACCCGAGAGGGCAAACAGAAAGGGAGGAGGACCAAGAGAGGCGAGGAGGAGCGGGAGGGCAGCAGGTACAACGTGGGGAGACGCCCCGACCAATCCAGAGAACCCTGCGTGCGCCCCCCCGGGACCGGAAAAGGGACAGGAACACAGACACGAAGCAACCGTGCCGCCCTCGTGCACAAAAAGAATGGGGGGGCGCTGGAGGGCGTCCTCGCTCTCCTCCTCCTCCTCCTCCTCCTCCTCCTCCTCCTCCTCCTCCTCCTTCTCCTCCTCCTCCTCCTCCTCCTCCTCCTCCTCCTCCTCCTCCTCCTCCTCCCTCTTCTTCTTCCACATGTTCCCCAAAGGGGTTCCAATCGGCTGGGGGAACCGCCGCTGAAAACGACGTCGATGACGCCTCCGCCGCCGCCGTCCTCCGCCGTCGCGGACGTATGCGGCAGCACTGGGTCTCCGTGAACCCATTCAGAGCAGGACCCCTGCGCACTTGGGCCCCCGGCCAGGCCCAGCATGCCAACTTCTCTCGCGCGGGAGCTGGCTCGTGGGTGCCCAGGTGGTGGTAACTCGGAGGTGACGGAAGCGAAGCGGACAGCACCCAACTGGAAAACATCAGTTTCGGCGCCGCTTCGTGCCGAATGTGCGAGCCGAAGCTGCGCCCCTGGCCAGCTTGGTTCCACGATCGTGTCGGGTCCGAGGTGGACCCACAGTGTCCCCTCGCTGTCCTGCCGATACCCCTAATTCGTCCCCGGACCTCTCCCAAGGCGCGCTTGGATCCGAATCTTGAGGCGCTTCCAGCCGTGGCGGCGAGGGACGCTAGTCAACGCTGAATCGACGCGCGTCGACGCTTTCTCATCGATTTCCAGCCGCTGCTGCAATCTAGTGCACTCTAAGAAGCGACATTCTGAGAACACGCAAGGCTCTCATGAGCTGCTACCGAAAGCACCACCCAAAAGCCTTCCACGAAACGCTCGATCCCATGCGATGGTTATGGATATCGGGGGGCGTCCTAGAGGGGCGCGTCCAAGGTGGGGGTCCGCAAATCATGGCCAGAGGCATGTGCTCGGACGAGGCGGGGACCAGGGGACGTCTTGGAATAAGAAGAGGGGGCCATGAAATCTGGAGAGATTAAGACATCATGGCACAAGCCATGATACCTACAGTTGGGGCGTTGACCTAAGGAACCCTAAATAAGGAACGAGGCCCCTTTTTCCCATAAGTCCCACCAGCTCTTTGGGCGTGAGTGGTTTAGAGAGCCCGCTCTGTCCTCAAACCCCCTTCTCCCCCTTCGGGGAGGGGTTTACCCCTCCCCCTACCCCCTCCCCCTGGGCCTGGAGAGGGAGTCCCGAAGTGGTGTCAAGGGGGTCTTTTTCGACTTTTGGGAGGGCCAAAAAAACGACGACCCTCACGAGGATTCTGGCCCCCAGGGGGGGGGGCAGTTTGGCGCCTCTACGCCTCTTCGAAGCAGAAATCATTGATTTTACTATGGTTTTGGCCCCATTTTGGACTTCTGAGGGGGCCGCGCTCATCGTCCCGCATAGCAAAATCATTGATTTTACGGAGGTGTTGGACTCATTTTGTCCTTCTCAGGGGGCAGCTCTACTTTGCGCTTCTGAGGAGGTCGCAAGAGGCTCCAAGATGGCCCCAAGAGGCCCCCAGGAGGCTCCCAAGAGGCCTCCAAGAGGCCCCCAAGAGGCCCCCAAGAGGCCCCAAGAGGCCCCCAAGAGACCCCCAAGAGGCCCCCAAGAGGCCCCAAGAGGCCCCAAGAGGCCCCCAAGAGGCCCCCAAGAGGCCCCCAAGAGGCCCCCAAGAGGCCCGCAAGAGGCTCCAAGAGGTGGCACCAAGACGGCCCCACGGATGAACCCGAAGACTCACAAGCCAGGACGAGGGGGCCCCCAGCCCCAACGACTCCATCCACGAAGAGCCCGAACGCTCTACACACGGGAGGGGCCCGAACGACTCACACCAAGGCAGAGCCCCGACGACATCACAATCATGATGAGCCCTGACCCGAACGACTCACAGGCCAACCACGACGCGGGCCTCGAACGACTCACACCCACGAGGAGGACCCGAACGAGTCAATAAACACCAGGAGGAGTGGGGGTGGTGGGCCCGAACGACTCACACCAGGATGAGGGGCCCGAACAACTCACACCACGAGAAGCCCGAACGACTCACACCAGGACGAAGAGCCCGAACGACTCACACCAGGAAGAAGGGCCCGAACGACTCACACCAGGACGAGAAACCCCAAACGACTCAAATCACGAGGAACGCTTTCTCTCCCTCCTCCTCCGCCTCGTCCTTCTCCCGCTCCCCCCACAAGGAGGATGTACAAGGAGGCGGGAGGAAGGAGGAACAGGGGAGATATGCGGGCCCAAGCGGACACACGCCTGACAAACACGACTGTCGGCATGCTTCGCAAGAGTTGCTGCTGTGAGATGGGCTGGTGGGGATACGCGAAGCGTAAAGAATTCAAACTCGATTCCCTATGAAAACCCTCAGGAAAACCCGAGGCAAACTTTGAAACAATCAAGGAACACCGAGCCCCTCCCCAGCGAAAAGGGTTCCTTCTTCAGCGCCCCGACTGTACACCGACCTCCCCCTGGTCCCCCCCCCCTCTTGGAGGCTCCTGAAGATAGATCCCCGCCTCGGACTTCTCCCTCTCTGAGGGAGAAAGAGCTGTACAAACATACACTCTTAGAGATCCGCGCGGGTTTCTTTCGGGTCGGGCGAAAGGGGGGGATAGCAAAGGGGGGGTTTGAGAATCAGCTCACGTAGCTGATTTTCCCGGCGCCTCCCGGCGCCGGAGGCGGCCATGTATCGAGGAATGGGCCCCTCGGTGCGGCCGAAACCAGCTGCATGCAGCAAATTTCGTAACCCCCCCTTTCCCATTCCCCCCTTTCGTTCGGCCCGAATCTGCGCCGGGCTCCCCTCCCTGGCGCGCAGAGCACGCCAGAGGCGGCGCCGCAGGCGCCGCCAGGGGGGCCCGAGACGCCGACCCGAGAACTCCGCGCGGAGCTCCCAAAGTTTCTGTTTATGCCATCGTTTGCTCTTCGATGCGCGTCACCCCCCCGGCGATGCATCGGCGATGCATCGCCGACGTCGGCGATGCAGTGGCGACGCCGGCGTGGAGAGAACCGGGCTCCACATCGAGCCGCATCGCCAATCAATCGGCGATGCGGCGCGATCCTCCGACGCCATCTCCTCCGACACCATCTGGGAGGCCAAGAAAGACGCTCCCTCATTGAAAGCAGAAGCGCCACCCTCAGAATCAACACCCCGAAAGCGAAACCGTTTAGCAAACGCACCGAAGACAATCATCGAAACAAGGCAGAACTGTTCCATAAACTCCCTGGGCCGTTCAAGAAACGGCAATTCTGGGGGTCAGGGTGGTCTTTCTCCCGTGATGGGTTCCAGGCCAAGGGGGCCTTTCGTAACAGGGCCGCACCAAAATGCAAAAGTTCAGTCTGTCGCCCATTCCAAGTGGCAGCCACGCGCCAATACTGCACGACATGTGTACCCTGCACAAACGATCGCGCGAACTACTGCGCACCTTGCCGAGACCGAGACCCCCCTTTGCAAAAGACCTGTTCGCCAGAACCCTCCCTTGAGTGGGGAAACCAAATGGTACCGATACCTCTACTCCCCAGAGCTCTCCTGGGGGGCGTTCTGACCAGGATTTTCAAGCGAATCCAGCGGTGGCGACGATGGAGGCCCAGGAGGCCCCCGAAGGGGAAAACGAGGGGAAGGGTAGAGGTGTGGGCACCTTTTCCTCCTCTGACTGATCTTGGACGCTCCCGAGGGCCTCCTCCCTCCGCCCGCCCCTCCGGGTCCTGAGGCCCAGGGCAAGAACACGCCGCCTGCCTGCGGCGCGGCCGGGGCCGCCTCCTGCGGGGAAGGGAGAGTGCCCGGCCGGGCACGGCCCGCGGCGCCCCCCCCCTCCGCCGGGCCAGCGCCGAGCCCCTGCCTTCCTCTTCATCCTCCGCCTCCTCCTCCTCCTCCTCCTCCTCCTCCTCCTGCTGCTCCTCCTCCTCCTCCTCCTCCTCCTCCTCCTCCTCCTCCTGCTGCTCCTTCTCATCCTCCTCCTCCTCCTCCTCCTCCTCCTCCGCCTCCTCCCTCTTCTCCTCCCCCTCCCCCTCCTTCCTCCTCCTCCTCCTCCTCCTCCTCCCTCCTCCTCCTCCTCTCTCCTCCTCCCTCCTCCTCCTCCTCCTCCCTCCTCCTCCTCCTCCTCCTCTCCTCCTCCTCCTCCTCCTCCTCCTCCTCCTCCACCCTCTCTTCCTCCTCTCCTCCTCCTCCTCCTCCTCCTCCTCCTCCTCCTCTTGCCTCTTCCCTCTTCACTCTTCCCTCTCCTCCTCCTCCTCATCCTTCGGGATACAAGCAACGGCACGGGCATCGAAACTCCTAGGTCCGCGCAGAGTCCTCGGGTAGGCGCTGGGGCCCTCTGGCGGCGCCTCTGGCGCCGCCACTGGCGCGCTCCGCGCGCCGGGGGTGGGGTAGGGGGGGGGGGGGCAGCGCCGACCTGGGGAGTCCGCGCAAACCTCAGAGCTTTGTGTTTACGTCAGTGGTTGTTCCCCGAATCCTACCCACACCAACCATCGATTCTCCAGAATCGAGGGGGGGGGGAACGTTCGGATTTCGCCGTGCTCGACAGATTCCGAACTCCAATCCTGCCGCCCATCGAGTTGCCTGAACCGTTGACTGGCGAGGGTAGGCTTCGGAATTCGTCGCCGACAACTGCTGGGAGACCTTTCACGAGCGGCGAATACATCCGTATCCGTGCCCTCGCGGCCTGGATCTTTGGGCGCGATCCCGCGGATACGCAGTCGCACGGATATGTGCCGCGCGGGGCATCCGCGAAGAAGAGACCCCGCATCCGCTGGGTCGCGGCCCAGGGGCCTGACAGCGAGGCCGCGGACACGGATCTGTTTTTCGCCCACGAGACTTCGTAAGAACGGTTCAGGGCTCTACTACGCTCGAGTACGGGGCCGTTGATGCGGACTGGCGCAGAATGCTCCCAGGATTCAGCCGAAGTTGGCGGGATTCGGCGGGACTGTGTCGCCTTAGACCTGCTCTCAATCATGGCTATACCAGCGCCGATGCTGAAATTAACCTTCCCCTGACTCTGGATCCGCCGTACTTTGGGCAATTTCTCAAAGAAGACGGAAACTACCGCTCTACGTTTCGAGCTCTTTTTGCGTAGATGTCCGCCCTACTTCCGACATGCTGTTGCAGAAGTATCCGTTTTCTGAGGCGGATAGCCAAACCCTAATTTCGCATCGTTTGGGATGCATTTCTGGCATAATTGCGTCGGGCAAAAAGCTATAGGGGCCCAGGGAGAGACAAATCAATCTAAACAACTGCCCAGATTTCCCAGATTTGGCGAGGTTTCCTGTCTTTTCGTCGTCCGCTCCGTTACCCATATTAGCCTAGCACTTCATACGAATTCCGCGTGTATTTGCGCCTGCGTATACTTGTCCCCCCGCAAGTACGGCTGGCGGACCTGGACTCAAGGCCCAAGAGTTGCATCCCAATACGCCCGTGCGCACACGCCCCCTTCGGCTCGGCCAGGGGGCCGACTGCACCGAACCCGTGGAAGCCCCGCAGCATCAGCCCAGCGAGGACCAGCGCGCTCCAGGCGTGCTGCACAGCAGGCGGCCGCACGAGATGGTGTGAGCCTCGTTGAGCCGATCCCCATCTAGAGGCCTCCCGGCTGGGGTCGGGAAAGATGGGGTCGGAGGATCGTGCCGCCTCGCCGATGGAGCTCCGATGTGTCGCCGATGCATCGGCGACGCAGACGATGCATCGGCGCCCTCGGCGTGGTGGAAATCGGGCTCCGCATCGCACCGCATCGGCGATGCATCGCAGATGCGGCGCGATCCTCCGACCCATCAATTCCGACCCCATCTGGGAGGCCTGGACCATCCCCACTTCCATGGCCGTGTTGGCCCCGCTGGCAGATTTTCCTCCGTAGATGGGGATGTCAGCTGTTCCCTTCGGGTTTCGAGGGGCCTACTCCCAACTGGGCGGGTGGGATGGCGGTGCTGAGATACCGTGGACAGGTGCGGATGAGGAGAGTTTGCACTACACTGAGGGTGGCGCGAGGGGGGGTCCTTCCGACAAAGCGGGGGGCTGAACGAGGCTTCGTTGACTCCTTCCCGGCTCCGATCGAGAATTGACGCAACAACTTGCAGCAAACCTCCCGTGAGTAAAAGCTTCCAGGGGCACTCCAGGTGCGCATAGCACCAGATCCCGAGTGGAGCAAGACGGCACAGCTGATTGACGTCCGCTAACGAAAGAGTGTATCTGGCGAAACACGGCGACTAGCGACACCGACTGGGGACTGCAACGGCACACTCGAATGCCGAGGCCAACGACGAGTGAACCGGTGCAGATTCCATCAGTCGACTTGTCTGGGTTGGCGGTCTCTCGCTCCCCGATCATTCTCGGCACGCACAACGGATAAGGGAGAGGGGGGGAAGGCTTCTTAGGAGGCTGCTTTGTAGAAGGCGCTGGCCTTAAATCTACAGATAAGGCCCGCGCCTTCTCAGAAGCAGGTGCCTTCTAAGAAGCCTTCCCCCCTGCCCCTACCCCCGCTTCTGCGCGTGGCTGAGAAGCCCTCTCGAGCTCCTCCAAGGATCCCCCGTGCCTTCTGAATAGCCCACGCCTTCTCAAAAAGCTCCTCTTCCTCCTCCTCCTCCTCCTCCTCCTCCTCCTCCTCCTCCCTCCTCCTCTGTCTCTTCCTCCTCCTCCTCCTCCTCCTCCGTCCTCCTCCTCCTCCGCCTCTTCCTCCTCCCCCTCCTCCTCCTCCTCCTCCTTTTCCTCCTCCTCGTCCTCCTCCTCCTCCTCCTCCTCCTCCCCTCCTCCTGCTCCTCCTCCCTCCTTCATCCGTGCGCGGTGCAGTGCTGGGTGGACCTGTGCTGCAACGTGGCGATAGCGTGGGGCCCTAGCATCGGCGATACATCGCCGATTAATCCGCGATAGGGCCTCGACAGCGAATCCACAGGCTGCTGTGCGGGGTGAGCTGTCAGGCCCGATATCGGCCACGAATGGGCGATTGGCGGCTGCCGGATGATAATTTAAGTCTGCTCTCCTGCGGCTTGCCGGAACGATTCGGGCACCCGCACCTCTGCAACGCTCCCAGCAAGGCGCAGCCGCTGGAAACTATCTCGAGGCTGGACAAACTGACGAACCGAAAAACGTGGGGCACCGTGAGGAATTTGCATCCCAAGAAAAGCAACTGTCACTCCGGCTAAGTCCCCAGAACTCCCAACACCCTTCCCTGCAGGTGGTCTTTCGTCCCTGATCCATCTTTGCTGGCCCCAGGCCCCGATAGCGGCCCCCTCAGGCCGAAATTGAGAAACATTGACGGGACAGGACACATCTCATCTTCCGAGATCTGGGCCTGTGGGCGGCACAATATCGAAGTTTGCAAAATAACTGCCCACCAATGACAATACCGAAAGGCCCCCCCGACACCCCGCACCTCAAAGCTGGCGGACGACCGCGCAGGAAGGGAGCGCCAAATGTTGCGAGACAGACGCGCACTCCTGCGAGGGGCCCATCGCTTCCCTATCAGCCTTTTAAATGCGGGGGCGACGGGGGCGGCTTGGTTGTCGTGTTATGTTACGTAGACCCGACATGGGCGTTTACTTCGCAACCAGAACTAGGTCCAAAACGTCAGGATTGGACCAACCATGCCGTCGGAAATCACAGCCTGTGGGCCCGCAACGTATGCGGCGGCGAGCCCGGGGGAGAGTGAGAGGGGGCGCGCCTTCTCAGAAAGCGGCGGGACCTCTCAGAACACCCGCCGCCTTCTGATTGGGTGGACATACGACTCGGGTTGGCTTGACGGGACCGTCAGGAGAGTGACGACACCCAATCTGAAATTCGACGCGAGCTCCCGCTGCACACATCCCACGAAAACTGGACCGCCAAGATTCAGGACGGTCCTGTCAAAAACCGTCGGCGAACCCGAGTGCTGGCAAACTCGAGCCTTACGTGTCCCCGATCTGAGAAGGCCTGCCCCCTCTCATTCGGGCGTTGGCAGAACTGGGTTTAGAGAAAACCTGGTTCAAAGATGTGTACTGGGGGACGCCCCACCGCCCCGTTCCACTAACCCGAACTGCCGTCACCCGAAAAGCACCAACTACAGCAAACCTGGTTTTGTGATTCTGGCCAGATCCAAAGGCAGGGCCCTACCGCTAACCGGGTCCCCCTACCCGGGGACCTGGCTATGGACCTGGCTATACCCGATCTGAGGAGGAGGGGGGGGGAGGAGGAG